TTGCCTGAAGTACTGGAAGCGTGTGTGTATGTTGACGTGTGAAGTCTCTGTGTACGTCCTGTGGATGGTTTCCTCTTCGCAGTCCTCTTAAACACCTAATTCCGATCGAAATATGAACGCGTTTATTAGGCCTAATCGGATTTACTTTTGTGGTGCTCATCGATCCAACCCGGACACAGGTAGGCCCGTTGCAGCAAGACGGATTTACCCTATGAAGTTAGAACTAAATGAGAAGATTAACAAGTAAAAGTGTGAGGGGAGCAAGCGCCATGTAGCTACAAATCGTTGAAATCTTCCCTTTAGTAGTTTATTTGAACCTGCACGCAAAAACAAGTAAAACGTTCAAAACAGTATGCTACTGAAATTCAGCTATAACCGCACAACTGTTAGACAAGTCACTGACTATTGGGAATAAACTCGAGGACAAGGATAAGATAATCATTGTGTGCGTCTGATTCAATGACCAATTTGTGTTTAGCTCGTATTCCCTTACGGAACACTACACCCTCCCCCGACAGTTCAACCGTCGATTTCGACAATGTCCACCACGACCTTCAGTAAGCTGAAGGCAGGCGCGCTGAGTATAGCTTGATTATAGTGAAAGTAAACTCGCTGGATCTACCTCACTCTCTGAGCACTCCCACACCGGGACGCGGTTGTCAGGACAGAATAAAGAGGGCCGGAGATGAGGAAGTGCGTAGATGGCTGGAGAGACCAACACCAAACACGCGTACCAACAGCACGCCTCGCTCTGCAGGCCCCTGACAGGACGTTCCATGCAGACTACAGTAAGAAGGAACCGTTGAATCTGACTCTCAGCCAGCAGACAGGCACTACACACAGTAATACACACTGGACGGACTGCGGTGTCCGAGTTACCCCGCCAGCTGGCAACGCTCCAAGCCACGGCCTTTAGCACACCGCGATAGTTTCAAGCGCATCAGATTCATCATAGGGAGGAAAAAAACGCACCGAAGGTCGACCTCACTCTCTCTTCACCACCAGCAACAGACCCCCACACACATAAACGCACACTTCTGCGATTCACAAAGATTTTTTGAGCATTAGAGGAGAAGAACTCATTTACAATTCTGCATATACTCCCGTAAACGCTGGTTTCGCCAATGGGTTACGGGAAGGAGCACAGTACGCTTGTATTCTTCTCTATTATTTTAATGCGCATTATTGTTAGGGAAGTTGAGTAGCAATACTGGCCCCAGTAATGCATTAAACACAGAAGGGGCACATTTAAGGGACTGAAGTAAATTAGGCCTGTTGCGTTTTAGAAGATTTTGGTATGAGCTCAGTCTACACATCACCAGAGTAGAAATAGCACCTACGTTGCGCGGTGATTATAGGGGTTATCTGGGTTGCGCATATTAGGGGAAGTGAAAAGTAATTTAAAAAGTAGAGCGTATAAAAGTAAAAAACAATTGGAACAATTATTCAAATAACTCCATTTTTGGCAAGAAAAACCGCGTGATAACTAGAATGAGAAATACAGCCAACAGAAAACAAGAACTCCGCAGATTGCGATATTGTGGAAAGAACTGAGCATTTTCGAGGTTAAAACAGAACCACAAAAGATAAAATTCGCCATTTTTAATCGAAAAAGCGACCGCATTTTGTTAATAAAAATAAACTACACTTACTTAAGAAAGCGAAATTAAGATATGCCAAACTAAGTTAAACTAAGCTAAAATAAAACTAAAATGTCACTAATAAAGCTAAATAAAAAGACTAAAAACCTAAGTAAAACTAAAGTAAAGTAAGTTAACTAGAAAAGCAAGTGAAGTAAGCTAACTGGAGCCTATGCCAAGGCGCTAAAGCTTTCCGTGTGGGGAGCACAAGGGATTGGTAAATGCTGAACATGCACACAAGAAAATAGGCTATCTTAATGGCAAAACGAGCTCCAAGCGAGCTCGCGTTGTCGCGCTTGCAGCTCGAATAATCGAATTTCATTTTTCATCCGGACAGGGGTTACTTCCTCTCCTGCCAAAACCCCCCATTTTTCAAAACACAGTGAAATATTACTTTTTGAAGACTGTTTATTTAGTAGACTGTTTATATTAATATTAAAAACGGGCTTAAAAATATTATGGTACAAAAAATAAAAAATAGGTTTCTTTGGCCGTTTTTTCAGAATTCCTGGCTACCCGAACGCAGCACTGTGGAGTTCATGGGCGGTGCTGGTAGTCCGTACGGCCCTGGCGCATCATCGTCCTCATCATTGCGTCGTATGTCTGACAGGAGAAAATTAGGAAATTTAGACGTATGTAGGGAAACGTAAAATAACAGCGAGTAACAAGGTTAAGTGTATACGTTGACTCACTAATACGGCTTGTAA